CACAATTTATATTTACTAATCAAATTGCTATCTTCGTATTATAAACTTACACTTAAAAAGTAAGTTCGGTTCATTCACATGAAAACGAGTCAAGAACAGAAATAAGACGCGAACCATTTATACGAGCTGTTCTCGTAGACATACTCGTAAAAATGGTCCAGTTCGCGTCTTATTTTTCTTAGTATAAATGGCCCTAAAGGTCGGTACACACTAGGTGACAAGTTGCAGCAACATGTCGCGGCGACACGTTGCAGCGACAAATCGCTTCGTGTGTAGTGGAGAATTTTGTGAAAATCTTTGTCGCTGCAACAGAATTTTGTCGCCGCAACAAGTCGCACAGATTCAGTCTGATTTGATTTTTTGCGACTTGTTGCAGCGACAAAATTCTGTCGCGGAGACAAAGATTTTCACAAAAATTCTCCAGTACACACGAAGCGATTTGTCGCTGCGACGGGTCGCCTCACCTTGTTGCTGCAACTAGTCACCCGACCTGTACACATGGGGTGATCTGTCGCCGCGACGTGTTGCTGCAACTTGTCGCCTGGTGTGTACCGACCTTAATGAGAAATGCTAGCGGGCAGCAAGATGAAAATGAGGGGCAGTGAAAAATATGAATATGAACACGGGAGACAAAATAACTTTACGACAATTCCTCCATAAAAATAATGTGTAACTAGGAAGTTTGACGATTTAGTCGCACAAAACAGCGTTGTAGTTGTGCAAAACAACGGCAAAGAAAGTCAAAAAGCGTGCTGTACGTGCCAATTTGTTTTTCGCTAATTAGAAAAAAGTGTGCTGCACGTGCAATTTGTGTGTTTGCTAATTAGATCTATTGATCTTGATGCCATTTTCATTGCCGTCCCCTTTTAGCATTACACGATTTAATCTTTTTGTTTATATAAGTATTATTACCCAGAGCTTCCCTTTTAGCCCCGTCTAAACTATCAGTCTTTGTTTTTGCATCTTTCAGCTACAATCATAACATTAATCTACTTATTGTGGACAGGACTGAAAACCAGAACCGTAGCATTGTATAAATAAACGCATTTGCCGAAGAACTTAATAACAACTTCTTTTATAATTATTTCGATAAAAATGTGTGTGTGAGGGGGGCGGGGGGAAGGCTTTGGCCCCGGCCCCTCGCCTTGCGCGGGCCCTGCGGTTATTTGTGACACAATCATTGGATGAGTAATAAAATCTCTCAATCAAACACTTACACAATCAATCTTAAGTTAAGTCAATAAACCAGTTAGTAAAACAACGTCAAACTATAGTAAGTATTTTTTTTGGCAAACTCTGCTGGGTTGTGAATTTGCAAATTAACTATAAAAATTGAATTATTTACCTGTAAAGTGCCATTTTGAAGCGTCCTCGATTGCGAGTCCAACCCAGTCCACAAGCTTAGAGTAAAGACATCAACCAAAAGAAGGACTCCGACAAAAATAAACAGTCGGTGGTCTTCAATAACCTATAGCATTTATCTTATACATTATTGCCTTTAAAGTGTTTTTAAAGTGATTGGAAGGAATTATACAGGGGCGGATCTAGGGGGAGGGTGCAGAGGGTGCGAACCCCCCCCCCCCCCCCCCCCCCCAACACTGGGTTTTTTTTTAAACAACAATTTTTTTAAAAAAAAAAAAAAGAGAAGGACCCCCCCCCAAAAAAAAAAAAAAACCACCCCCCACCCAAAAAAAAAAAAAAAAAAAAAAAAAAAAAAAAAAAAACCAACAGTGCAACCAAACAAAAACAACAGCTGCACAAATGACAAAA